TTTCCCGTGGCGTCAATGAATTCCATTTTTCCTATTGCCAACTTTTCATTGAGAGCAGTGTGGTTTTTTATTGTCGCGATCTCAATTGCTAATTAAATACTTTATCGGTCGAAAGAAATTACTATGGAACACAAACCGGATCCTGAAGCTATTTTCTATTTCGGAGCAAGCAAACATAAAAAGGATGTAAGACTATTGACTGAAAGTTGACAAATCCTTATACTTAAATGCATATTTTCTAAAAAAACATTTAAATATGAGAAAGTATGTAACTAGATAATTTACTGTCCAAGATTCTCAAGGCAGCCATCAACGGTTTAAAGAAAGTTGACGAAAAGCTGGGTAACTGGGACCTGGTCACAGAATACGATCGCAAAATCGAGGACGTCATCATCGGCAATCTAAAAAGGAAGTTTCCTAATCACAGGTACATTTTATGGGTCCTTATGTAACAAACAGAATCACTTTACAAAAATAACTCTATGTTAACTAGAAATAAAGTCTCTTTAAGTGCAAGATGCAGACACCCCAGAAAACTAACATAGATCAATCGTTTTTGAGAACAGATATTTTCAAATCTATGTAAAAGATAATATATTTCTTTAAATGAAACATAGAATTTTATTCCATAACATTTGCACGCGATTTTTGTCCACTGTTTAAAGTAAAATTTCGAATTGAGTTCTACGAGCAAAGGTTGATACAAGAAACAATATCTAAATGTTGTTGATCACTTTTACATCTGACTTCTTAAGGAAAACTACACAGTTCAATCTACCTAAATTGGCACTTTCAGATGCAAATCGTGTTTTATAATAAAATAAACTTAACGGATGGTTATTACATTACTTTCACCAGACTGACTATATGTATGTTTCGTAAACGGTAGATGGAAAACTAAAATATAATTTATTAAAGCCTATAACTGAACACCGCAGGAGTGTACTATTTTATAAAAATATATGATAAGACTATGTTGTCAATACTTAGCTATATATTTTGAAATGACGTAGAACTAAGTGACTGGCATTCTTCTAAAAAATGCAAAATTACGTAGAGTTACGTTACCAGCATTCTTCTAAAAAAAAAATTGAAATTGACGTAGGAATACATTACTGGTATTTAGATAAAAAAATTAAAAATGACGTAGGACTACGTTACCAGTATTCAGCAAAAGAATTTAAAATGACGTAGAACTACATTACCGGTTTCGAATGTATTGACAAATACTAATCAGCTACACGAGAAAACAAGAAAATTTTCGGAATATTTGTGCCAGATTCATAGGCGAAGAATCAACCGGGAAAGATTTACCAGAGCTAACAGACGATCCAACATGGATCATCGATCCGATCGACGGCACTACTAACTTCATTCACGGTTTTCCACACACTTGCGTGGTGATTGGCCTGGCGATTAAGAAAGAAATGGTAATCGGTATCGTTTATAATCCTGTTCTCGAGCAGCTGTTCACCGCGAGAAAAGGACGAGGCGCGTTTTTGAATGGAAAACTCATCAAAGTCTCGGAAGTTCAAGGTAAACAAGAGCTAATAAACATCATCGATTCTAATTATGTTTTTATCAATTGTAATTATCATCGAAACGAAGCAGATATATGAGTTACAGAATCTAGTTATCAATATTTAATTTTTCTTCTTATTAGGCTCTTATTATTATCCCCTAATTTTTCGAATTTACCGAAAACCATATAGATACATTTTATAGACGTAACATACGAAAAGATACAACAAAAAATTTCGATTCTTACAGTCATCCGGGTTTCTCTCTTTAACAAGAATTATATAAACCTTAATTTTTATTAATCCATCTTTATTAATCTACCGATACTATCAGATTAATCACACGAAATACTTATAATGGTAGACGTGATGAAATAGAAATTATCATTATAGACCTATCGAAGGCTTTGGTTTGCATGGAAGCTGGTTTCATGAAAGTAGAGCAACTGAAAGAGAAAACCATCGAGAGGCTACAAGCTATTGTTGGCGAAGCTCAAGGGTAAGATTTTTAGAATGATACTGTGTGCTCCTTTGAATCAGATTATCGAGATTATTGTTTTCTTTATTTCTGAAGGATTCGAACCCTCGGAGTGGCGGCATTGACTTTATGTTACGTTGCCTTGGGAATTGTGGAAGCCTATTACATAGAGGGACCAGGAATTTCCACGTGGGATATCGCAGCAGCGTCATTAATTATCACCGAAGCTGGAGGAGTAGTTCTTGACCGTGTAACAGGTGACTCAATCATTCTGCGCGTACTTTCGATTCATCTGGATGCAATCAAAGTCATTTTCGTTACAGGTCAAAGAATAGACATTATGAAACCGCGCGCAGTTGGCGCGTGCAACGAAAAAATCGCGTCGGAGATTGTCAGAATTATTCACGAAGCTGACCGAAGAGTAGAAAATAAGAAGAAGTAATTAGTTTTCTGTATAATAGTAAGAATAAAATAAATGTTCAATTGCTACACGAGATTCTTATTCCATATCCTAGTTCATTCTCAATAATTTACAGGAGCTGCGAGGTTTACAAAGAAGAGTCAATACAGTAACGATCACAACTATATCAATATGACGATTCTGCGTAACAGATTACTCATCCCATAATTTATGTTGTAAGACATTAAAAATATATGTTAATACTTAGCACGTAATACTTATTTTTTAAAATCGATCTTTCGATTATCAGACAAAATAATGAAGAAATCATTTTGTTTTCTTTATGTATACTATACCTAGTACAGAAAGTATAATAAAAAGCTATAGTTTCGCAATATCTTTTTGTACGTAATACTCTGTGACCTAAAATGGTACCGATATGTTTGTCGTGCAGGACTGATTATCCAACTGTATTTGTATCTAGTGAACAAAACATAAAAATTCTTTCCTTTTAGTTGAGGAAGTTGAAGATTAAGTCATAATGTAAATATTTTTTGAAAAAATTCCATTTTCTGAAACCTTATTTAAGATAAGTTGACAAAATAAATTATAGTATCACAACCCGTAAAACTAATAAAGAAATATCAGAAAACATCTTAAATTCATCGGCAGTACACAATGTAAATATTTCTCCAAAATCGCTAGTCAATTTGATTTTTTTCTGATAAAAGGATGTTTGATAAAATTTCTTTCCATTTTATCTTGCCACCTGATAAAATCAACTGTAGAAGAGGGGAAGATATTCTGGGAAAACCTTATTGACGAAGTTGTACGCAACAATTGAGGAAACTCTATCTCCACGAAATACGAGTACGACGAAGAAAAAAGGAATTATAATCTAAATAGACCGAGAAAAATAATTGAAGAATTGTGTTTATTTATAACAAGAATCGCGTTGTACGACGCGATTGAGGATGTTAAAAGTGATCGTTCACGTTTCAACAGGTATGCACGTATAACACATAGTTGTTTGCTAAATCAGATATTGCGGATTTTCGCCCCACCTATTTCTCGTTTACCCCGCTCTTTTCTTTCTTCCATTCTAGTCACTATATAGGCCAGCAAGTGCATCCTTAGTATCAGTTTAACTGTAGAAACCTCAAATAGACGTGAGCGCTTGTGAGAAGAAACATGACAGAATCGCACGACATTGAAGGATACTACAATGTTGCTGAAGAACTGGTTTTAAAAGCAGGAAAAGTACGAGTGCATGTTATACACAGGGTGATCAAAAAAACGAGACAAAGAACTTTCTAATTATAAATAATAAATAATATCATTTCTATACGGATGTGATAGTTTTCAAGTGCAAATGGAATAAATACTTGTAATATATATATTTATGTAATAATTCAATAGAGGGAAAACATCAAATTATTTTAAAGATATATACTGAACATAGTAATTTATGATCTGGTAATTTGTGTTACATTTAAGTTAAATTACAAGAATTTGTTTTATTGAATAGATTGAAGAATTTGTTGTATTGAGGTAATAGAATACTTTTATTAAACTCTGTAAAGATTATTATTTTATTGTGAGTTAGACGTTTATGTAGTTCGTAAATCTATAAAATTCATAATTTAATTATTTTTCTTGCAATATTTTGCAATTTTTTACACAGGAATAGTGCAAATATAATACACATTTCATATCGGAAACAATATCCTCAACTCCATTTAATTTAAATGGTGTAATCTTTACAATCTTTATAAATATTACATATCACTTGTATTAAATAAATGCTCTGTAGTTCTAGTGTTAAGAAAGAAGAAATAAAGAAACTAGTTATACAAATATAATAATCATAATATAGTACTCAGCGATTAATGTAAAATACAAAACATACTCTGTTGATCATCACTGCAAATGATTTCAAAGTTATGTTCTGTTATTAGATTCTTTTGAAAGACTAATTTGTGTCATTGGACTGACAAATGTTAATCACTGAATTTCAGATAATAGAAAATGCCATTAATTTAAAGAAAAATGTAAAAAGTAAGGGAATTGACTGGGACCTTGTAACAGAGTATGATAAAAAAATAGAAAATGATTTACAGAAACAGTTGTCAAAAATATATCCAGAACACAAGTAAGTGTATTTCAGAAAACTGAAAGGAAATTAAGAAATTTCATGACCGAATAATTCATATTAGAAATCTTCTAATTATTTCATCCATTGAACATATTGATTTACAGATTTATTGGTGAGGAATCAGTAGCAGAAGAAAAGTGTTTACCAAAACTAACAAACGATCCAACATGGATCATAGATCCAATAGATGGCACAACAAATTTTGTGCATAGATTTCCTCATACATGTATCTCTTTAGCACTGTTGATAAATAAAAAAGCAGAAATTGGTATAGTATACAATCCATTGATGAAACAATTGTTTTCTGCAAAGAGACAGAAAGGAGCCTTTTTAAATAGACATCCTATAAAAACATCAGAGATAACAGGTATGTTTGTACAGAACAATTTATGTACAACCTACAATTAAATACTCTTATTAAAAATTAGTTCTTACTCCTAGATATATCTCAAACGCTGGTCGCAATGGAACCATGGATTGCTAAAGATTCAAATTATTTAGTTACTGTATATAGTAGAATGCATGCGTTAATTCAAGGAACTCATGGGTAATTTCCTTCTTCAATTTTACAAATACTTTCTTTTTTCTTGACATGATAATTGGAACTATGATTTATTCTTAGAATAAGGTCATTAGGGACTGCAGCTCTTACATTATGTTATGTTGCAATGGGTGCTATAGAAGCATATCATGTTGAAAGTATAGATGCTTGGGATGTTGCTGCTGGAAAACTGATAATAGAAGAAGCAGGTGGAATAGTAATAGATACAGCCGGTATAAATCTATATTAGATTACAAATAAGTCTTTACTGCACACCTATGCAGTTATAACTTTATAACTACAAAATGATTATATTATTTTAGGTACAGAATTGGATTTAATGACACCTAGAGTCATTGCAGCTTGTAATCATCAAATTGCTGATCAGTTGGTTCATCTCTTTAAAATTGCTGATTCAAAAGCAATTGACAGAAACTTAAGATGAAATATTTTATATTATGAAATTTAATAACATATCTCATATAATGAATGCTATGTTCGCTTATATTTAATATACACTGTAGAAAGTAAATTTTATACTTCAATAAAAACATTTTGGACCTATTTCAATAACGTATATTTAAGTATACCATTTCAGAAATTAATAAAGTTTATTCTTCTTTTTCTTACCTGTGTACCCATATTTGGTTGCATTTGTTGTGGATGTGATGGGTAGTTTTGCTGCTGTGGTGGTTGCTGTTGAGGTGGTTGAGACATCGGTGGACCACCAGGTGGAATTGGAGGTCCAGTTTGATATGCTTGTGTTGGACTATGTGGATGATGTTGTGGAGGACCCATTGGACTACCTTGTGGATTGGATGGCGATGGTGCCTGTTGAGGGGGTCCCATAGGGCTTGGGGCTTGTGGTGGAGGCATTGGAGATGATTGTGGCGATGGACTAGCCATCCTACTTTTTTTGTACACTTTATATAGTTCAAGATCACTTCGTGAAGATCAAATTTAAGATCAAGAAAACTTCCTGAAAAATAAAGAAATTATGAATTAATAATATTTATGTATTGACAGGCCAGTATTTTATCATAAAGTATTCATAGCCTGTAAACAAATTTGATTTTAGGTTTTTGGAATATTTAAATATTGAATATGTACAATTACATTAATTTAAAAAAAATGACAATTAAAACCAAATGTATCCCTTTATTAAAATTACCATTATTATTGTAATTAAAGGAAAAAAAACAAAAGTGGTATTTAAAGTAACAGAATAAAAATAAAACTGTTCTAGATAAAAAATACTTGTGAGAAGACAAAATTATTTCTTATTTCATTAATATTCTTCTTAAACATTAATAATTCTTCTGCATAGTTTAACTATGAAGAAATTTTTAACTTTGAAGTGCTACATTTAGTCTCTCACATCCTTGACAAATTATAAATTAATGCTAAAATGAAAATAGAAACATAAACTATCTATAATTTCAATGATTGAACATTATATCGTAACTGAAAGAAACATGGAGATTAAACATTGTAAAATATGCACAAAAGAAGATGTAGATAAATTAAAATTTTTAGTGATCTGACAGATTGACTATAGTACGTAAGAGTTAATATAGATATAATATCATTCCTTTTCTTAATGTGCTGAAATAATTTTACCTATGATTACATTCATAATTTTGTTTCATAATCGTAATAATGTTTTAACATAAAATATAATTGAAAGAATAATTCGTAGGATTACAAAATTGAAACAGAATCAATTTTTTGGCTTAAAAACATATTATCAGCTCTAATAATCTTAATGGTTCTACGTTGATGCATATGAATACTTCCATAATGTCTCTAACATTAAATTTATTTATATACTAATTATTCAATATATTTTTCATGTATTATACTTATGTATACATAATCAAACAACATTTTATAATCATTTATAGTTTATATGTACATAAAAAAATATACATATATTTTTTACTTGTACATAAAAGAAACAAAATATTTTAACCAAGTAATACTACAGAAAATTTATATTACCATTTCGACTAACCTCAATTATTAATGACATATTTTAAGCAATAACTGTTTCCATATTACAAAAATATTAAAAATAACATTAATGTTAAGAAACTTGCAGTGTTGATAGGAATATTACGAACTCTGTACACACTCGGAACTTCACCAAATAAATTAATTAAAACGTATAGATAGAATATATGTTTCCATGTTAATTTTATAAAGAAACGTACATTGTCAAACAATGTTAATCAAAATCAGTTTATTTTAATCAGAAATTTGACAACTCACGCTGATCTACCTAAATAGCAGAATTTTATGGTGTTAAAACGTTTCTATTATTTTTGGAAAAAACTTGATGTGTATATATGTACCTTTTAAAATTCACTCAGTACTAAGAAGAATTTCTTTTTCGCCATACGTCCGCCAGTGTTGAATGAATTTATCCGAAGTTTTGCTTAATTCAACAACACAACCGAACACACGCTACCGGCCATTTTCCTTCTGCCCCTACTGGTAATGCATTAACACGTCGGGAAACATGGCCGTCAGTTCCAAGCTATACCATAGACTTAAGAGACAGACATTGCATGTTATGGGAATTTTTGTCTAGGGCTCTGGAAGTCCTCAGAACCCCTCCATCATTTCGGTATCGCGCTCGACGTTACCGATAATACATGATTTTAGACTTGTTGTCAGCCTCGATAAATTTCGTATAACTCTAACTCTTCAGATTCGATAACAATGTAATTTTTAAATACGGCAACACTGTAAAAATTGATCTCTCAAGTAGATAGATAGGTACACATTTTTCATATTGTAGTCTTATCACAGACGGGGTATAAGATAGACATTGCAAGCTTATAGGACTCAGTGTCACATGTGCTGAATTATCGACTGTGTAAAAAATCAGAGATTTTGCTCTGCCCTCTACGCCTAGAGAACGGTGAATAGGAAAACTACATGAAGCAAAATGATCGAAGGTGACTAAGTAGTGCATAAATATGTCTGAAATACCGATACGATAAAAAATGCTTCGATGCACTAGCGAACTCTATCGGAATCGAACGATCAACTACTGAACTATACAAGACTGCAATAGGGAAAATGGTCACAATGTTGCCGGTTCTAAAACTACATTGTCGATTTGAAGAGTTAAATTTGTATGAAATTTATCGAGGCTTGCAACGAAAGCGTTCGAGTGATTTACTTCCTGAACCGGCATGCTTCTTGAGATTGTCAAAATTCAAATACTAAATTATAACTAAAATCAAAGATTTATTAATTATTCCATTAAATAATTACACATACATATATTTGCTCACTCATTTATAAATAAACATTACTTGATTTTACATTAGTATAATACATAGATATTCGATGCAAAAGATGAGAATCCGCAAATATGAAACTATCTTTGTTTACTTAGTTCGTTTTATGTAATTACATTTTTCCATCACATTGTATGTTGTCTATCCTATACCTCGTCCGTGATTTTGTGTAGTGCAGTACTTTTCCATTTGATTCGGGTATAATCAGGATTTCAAAACAATAGACAAAAAAAATACATTGTATGCACAGTCTGTACGTATCCTAAGTTTATGGCTCTCTTTATGGGCTTCCCCTTGTAAGTTCAATTTGTAGCTTGAAAGTGAGTTTATAAGGAGTGATAATATATTGTTTAAGTTTTATACTACATTTTTCAAGTATAAATTAAATCAAAATTGATTTCATTTGAAGCTACAGTCTATTGTAAACGAGAAAAATAAATTCAATTTTTTCGTATTATCTTTACGTAAAAAATTAACACTAGATTTTTGTATACTTCACTATATACGAAAATATATCAGTTTGAAAATGTATTAAATAATTTATTATTATAATAATTATCTAATAATGCGGCAAGAAACTAAAAAAATTGTAGTCAAGAAAGTAATTGAAGATTTAGCAGTTGTTATTTTACACATTGTAAACTAAACTACAAAAAATTCATTTATGTGTTAAATGTTTGTTCATTAATATTACGTCATTATTTAGAGAGAATCTTAATATTAAACTATAAAAATTGTATGCAATTATTAATAGTTTTTAAAGCATAATATATTTGTACAAAAAATTGTACTAAACGATTTAATACTAAATGAACAAATATTGTATGCACTCATATCGTATATATCCACATGTAATTAATTAGTTGAATGGTGCATTTTATAAATTTTATAATCCAGAGTATTATTTTCTTAATAAATATTAGAATAGATTGTAAAATCATCAGTGGGATTTGACACATAAATAATAAAATTTAATTGCACTTTCAATATAAAGTTTTAGATGCACTATATAGTAAATAAATATATAGTACTTACGTATGATGTATGAAACTGTATGCAGAAGGAATACAGTTTGTGAAAGATGGCTGCTTCGGTGAAATTTGGACAACTCCCGACTAAGTTATTAAAGAGAAATTCTATTATTATTCATATTAATCGATGTTCCAGTATGTTTTCGAAATCGACATTAGAATTAGTAGAAACCTGTTATGATGAGTTAAAACGTATGTATGTAGTTCATTCCTGTAAAAAAGAATCGAATATTATTTCCTTGGATAGGTTACATTTTTATATGTTATGTAACGATTATTTAAATAATGTGTAACATGTTTGAAATGATTTTGATATAGAAAAATTAATTTTCTTGGAATAATTAACCGCCAATTATTAAAGACATATAAATTTACGCAACAATTATAAGAAGTCTCACAAACTCTTAATATTTACTACATTACTGTGTACATATAGGTGTCAAATAAAAGACAAATCCAATTGTTACTACTTGGATTAATAATAAAGGGACCCAAACTTGATTCAACAATAACAAATGTATCAAAAATTATTTTTTATGATTATTTATTGTCATCGTTTATGTATTTTTTAAATTATAAGTTTAGTTTTTAAAGTTGGTTTACGTTTTTTATTTTAATCGCCTTGTCAATTCTTTTCATAAGCAGTGTGAAAAAGAAACCACTAATAAAAATTCAATGGTATTTAAAAATGAAAACTAAAAAAATAAGACCAAGTTATAGGTAGAAATTAAATTTTGTTTTTATAGCAAACAGATATAAAAGAAAATTAGCAATTGATTTACACTTTATACAAACATACTTATTAAAAAATACAACTGTACTAAATAACTATAAAAACTATGAAAATAAATATAAAATATACAAAAAACTAAAGTTTAAGGATATTTTATTTTCTGCAATAACAAACATTTATAGATGGAACTTGGAAGCAATAAAAAAAGTAACGCACTTTCTATAAGTAGTAATTCAAATCATTGGTAAAATATAAATAAAGTTTACTACTAATTGAAAACATATGAATGTCTAATAATTTTGGAAAATAGGAGTGAATGAATATTTGAAGAACTCTCACAAATGTGTTGTAGTAATTAAGGAATAAAACTAATTTTCCTTTTATAAATTAAATAATGTTACATAATAGTAATTTGTTTATAAAAATACTATGCTCATTTTAATTTTTCATATTAAATTAAATGTCAAATGTTTATAAATTAAATATAAGTCGTAAGCAATCTGAGTTTGTTCAAAATTAACATTAAAATATGGCACGTCAAAGTTTTTGACTTAAACCTTATGATATTTATATGCATTTGTTAAATATATGTTTCAATACGTAACTTGTAGTTTAACTAAAGTTGACTAACTAAAAAGAACTACTTATTAGAAATATTTAATTGATTATGTGTTGCTCTTTTCAGCTATTGGAATGAGAAAATGGTTGCCAGGTCTTTACCCAAAGACAGAAGAAGAAAGGATAAAAGCTGCAGAGAAATATGGTCTGCATCCAAATGAGTATAAACCAGAACCTAACGATCACTTAACTATAGGAGATTATCCACAATTACCACTGATATCGGTTGAAGGTAAAGATCCCTATTATCCTTGGGATATGCCTGATATAAGGAAGAATTATCATGAGCCTGTAGGTTTATAATATTTTTAATTATATAATTTGATTTATATATTACATGATGGTAATTAATATTTTATAATGTTATAGATACATAAACAATTCGACTTGCTAACAGAAGATCGCTTTGCGTACGGCGTGCCCACTGCACAAAATTATTATAAATCTGCAGTTCTTTGTGTAATTATATTTGGTAGTTATTTATTGTTTTTTTCAGTAATCCCACCAAATACTAAACCAAATTTGGTAAGAATTATTAAGAAATTATAATACTCGTAAATGTAATATATAATAAGTGAAGTACTAATGCATTGTTTTAGGCAGTGAAGCAGTATCCGTATGATGGAAAAAAACATTATACCTTTGAACCAGCATAATAGAGCTGCAACTACAACATATATAGTAAAAATTTGTCTAATGAGGAATATAAATATTATAATGAATAAATAAATAAACGAATAATTCCACAGTTATTTTTGTTTTTTATTTAATAATTATACCAGTTACTTAAGGTATCAAATGATAAAGACAATTTCACGAGCAGGTTTTTAATTTTAAAATATATATTAAAAAATATGTTAAAGATTGTATGTTATAGTAAATGTAATTATGTAAAAAATTTTGATTATAAATTTTATACGCACTCAGTAAATTTTTATATGAAAATTAGAAATTACATAAATTTTGTATAAAAAACTGGTTTCATTTTAGACATACTCACGCTATCTGTTGGGAACTTTATTACTTAATCTGCAAGTAACATAATGTTTGATGTAACTGATTTAAATTAATGTTTTACTTGTTTTTTATATGATAAGGAATAGTCTGTACTTAAAAAATTCAGTTCATGACTATGAGTTCGGGAAATCATTTACCAAATCTTGATAAAATTTTTCGAGATGAAGATGAGCCAGATTTTCTACCTTCCGGAGGGTATGTTGTTTTAATAATATTTCGTAATTTTATTAAGATAATTGTTTAGAAACTATATCAATCGTGAAGAATATTTTCTAATCAAGGTTCGTTATGTCGTTGTTAATATATAAGAAGAAAAATTAACTAAGATGACGTGAAGGTTATACTATCAAACGCTATTTTAAATTACTGTTTCGCTTTACAAAAGTCACTATAAAAATGTTTTTCAGATCCAACTTAGCTGCTATTTTTGGGTTGCAAGTTAAGTCATCAGATAATCAGTCTTTATTGAAGCAACAGATCTCCAAAAAACCAAGCAGTTTACGTGACATACAACAAACAGTTCCAAACAAAACAGAGGTCATAATTGCAAAAGCAGTACATGCATTTAAATTGTGAGATTTAATATTTAAACTTTCTGTTATTTTAATCTGTCTTATTAATATGCAATGATCAATATTATTTGTAGACAAAATGGAGCTTATGTATCAGTCGGTAAGCTTGGTATGGCTCTCACAGGAAATATTACAACGAAAGTATATCAGATTATCTTATACAAAACCAAACAAGATCATATATCCACCACTACAGTTACAGACAATTTTTTATACTTAGTACAACCAAATAATTATTCAAGTTATTATGATAATGATAAGGAAAACTGGTCAATTTTGTTTGAAAATAATGATACTTGTTTAGAATTTGCCAAAGAAGTTGGATTGGCTCGATATTTCTCAACAGATGGAGAAATCGAGAATGTATTTTATCAGGATTTATCTCCCATGAACAAAGAAGTAATAGCGAAAGAAGGAGATAATCTAACTATTAAATATTTCATTGCTTCAGAAATAGTACAACCATTTAAATGCAATTGTACAGCATTACAAACAATGACAGTAGAAATATCTACAGATGACAATTGGGAAAAAACACTTTTAGGAAGTAATAAAGGACTAAAGAGAATTTTATTTTTGCCACCGAGTAAACAGGTTTCTTTTCAATACTTTATATGATCTGAGTGACTTCTGGTAGATCGAATATCTATAAAGATTTTAAATAAAATACTTTACAGATCAGTTTGGGTCCTGGCTTTCCTAAAGAAAAAGATGTTATGCTAGAAATAGAAATAACAGATATACAATCAAAAAAGGAGGTTACTCAGTTACATAATGTTACAAGTAATAAAGCATCTATCATATCAAGGATGGCCAAAATGGGTCAGTCTATGTTACCAAAAATACCAGTATCTCATCCTACTGATTCTGAAGACACAGAGGTATTTAAGATTTTTTTTTAACAAAGGGATTTTCTTATCTACAGTGTTGATAAATAATTTATTATTACTTTAATGATATGTTTTATAAGTATTATGGTTTAAAATATTTTACATTTTATAAAACTATGATGTAGAAGGAAATTAAAATATTTGAAGTTCAAAGTAAAAAACTCCTTTTAAGGTTATTTATAATAGTTTTCATAATGAATAATTGTGTATATTTCATGCATAGGATGATATACCATATAAATCGTCATGTCATGGAATGGTAAATAATGCTTATCTTAATTACCTAAAGAATTAACAAATAAGAATTTTATTTGTTACAGTATGTAGTCATATTTTGTCTTAGGTGGAATCAGCAAAAGAAGGACTCGAAAAGAAGCAGTCCTCCAAAGAAAGTGTACAAGAAACAAGGAATATACATAAAGGATTGAAATCAAAAGGTGACGTACCTAGTACGAATGGTGCCTGTAAACCTTTAGTTCCTTCGTCTTCATTTAATCAGTGGCCTTCTACACAAATTCAGGTACACAAAATGTTGTGGAAATCATAATATAACTAGAAAGGAGATAATGTTTTATGTAAACGCAAATCGAAAATGTAGATTTACTACATTTTCAAATATTAAAATTTGAAAATCATCCGGTGTATGTGCTATTGTATAAAAATCTTATGTGTTTATAGTTTATTGTCTCTATTTCTTGTGAATAGTCAGTAGATGTATTTAATGTATCAGTAATATTTGATTTTATATTTTCAGTGTACTTTTACATAAAAAACCACTTTTTTATTGGTTATACTATGATTTCTGAAGTACACTGTATAAGTTTTTTCTTTATTAAAGAAAGTTTATACTGAATAGTTAATGTATTAATATATACATATGCATACATGTATTGTAGCCCAACTTTGTTACTCTGGATGGTCAAGTATATTCATTACAACGACAAAATGTAACTCCAACAATATCATCAGTGATAGATCCAGGATTAAATATGATACTATCAGAAACTAGAATGACAAATACAGAACTTCGAATGGGAATGTCGAAAATAGCAGATAATGTGCAAAAGTTGCTCGATAAGGTAATTTATATACTGAAAAAATGATACATTATTTACAAAGATACCATTATGTGTTATGTACAGTTCCATGTTCTTGAACTTCAAAATGCTACATCTCCTATAAAAGATCAAACAGCATTAGATGCCACTTTAAAAATGTTTCTGACCATGAATGCACATCAAAGTGGAGAGAAGAAAGACAATTATTTGCAAAAAAGTTCTGATGTAACAGTTACTAAAACTTCTACAGATCTCGATGAAATGAGGAGCAAAATTAGTGTGCTAAAAGAAAAATTAGAAGAATCCAAAGGTAATCTGAATAGTTTAATAATAACATATATTATATAACAGTACATTAAATAATAAATTAATTTATAGAAGTATTAACTACGAAAACAGAATGCATTAAAAAGCTGGAAAGTCAAAAAGAATCGTTAATACAAACTAATGAAAATTTAAATAAAAAGATTCAAGAATTAGAAGTTTCTTTAAAAGAAACAAATCATGTTGTTGACAAAACCAGGAGAGATTTAGAGGAAATTCTAAAGGAACTTAATAGTAAATATATAGAAGAAAAAACTGTATTAGAAAACAAAATTTCTAAGCTTGTTGAACAATGTGATTCTTTAACATCTACAAAATTTATGGCAATACAGGATGTAATATCTTTTTACTGTCTATTTATATAACCTTGTTTTTTTATAATTTTTTAATATAAAAAATTATTTTTTACAGAATAATAACAAAAACAGAGATGTTAAAAACATAATGAACAAAATTTATCATACTTTGATGGAGAAATTTGTTGACGAAGTATATCCTACATCTTATATAAAATTAACAATTGCGAGTACAATAAAGGTAAAATTTAAATAAGATAATTTATTTATAATTGATGATTACAATTTTTTTTAAAATTATGATTGTAGAATGCTACGTTACAAATTCTATATAATTCTGACAAAGGAAGTAATAAAGAAGTTGAATCAATGCCTGTGAAAGTTACAGAAACTGACACTTTGAAAATTACCAATACAGAAGCAGAGGACTGCGTCTTAAGTGCTTGTCCAACCCAATTATCAAAGCAGTCTTATGTTACAGAAAATACTAATGTATCATTTGATTTGTTGATTAATTTCACATGATTCATATGACATATATTTATAAATTTATTCTGTTCGCAGATGCCATCTACATTAATACAAGACGAACCACCACCCATTTCTTGTACGGATGACGATTGGCCAGATTGATATTTCTATTTTATATTTTATATTTAGATTTTACAATAAGAACAAAGAATCATCCTTAAAGAAACATAATACTGTAATGTAAACAAAGAATTTTTAATATGTAATCATTTTTTAGTCTCCCAAGAGAATGTGAATATTCATATGTAAAGTATTTTATAGAAACCTAAGATTTCATATTAATAAATATTATTTTAATTACAATTACGATTCATTATTTTCATGTACATTTTACTGTAAGAATGAATACTAGGTTATTTTGTTTTACATTTATACAAATTTTACTAGTATTTTACGTAAATAATATACATTAATTTTATACAAGAAATAAGAGAGTGTTCAATGCAAAAAATATTTGACGCATTTTTAATAAATTTTCCTTGTAAAATAATATAAACCTTTAAATACAATAGAAATTACAACAGTTGCGCCGCAGTTTAATAGTTTGTCCAGTTTTAGAAATGGCGTAAAATCACAGTGCACCTTTTCATAACAAAGAGACACCATAAAAACGGCTATAAAAATAAGGAATATCACGAAAAATATGACAAGACGTAAGTTGCTCTGTAAGAACTGGAAATTAATGGAGTACAGAAAATCCCGCCCAAGTCCGTCCGGTTCTTGAGTAATTCTATCTGGCTGTGTTCACGGTTTCATCGCCTTGGCTTCTACCACGCCAATCAAATTGAAATCTAACCTTAAAATATCAACCAATAAAAACAATGCTTTTCTTTCAATTGTTCCCTTCTTAAACGACTTAACCACCTTAGAAATTGCACTGTAAAACAATGCAAAGGATCATTATGAAAATATTATCTCATTTACACCTATTATATTTTACCTTCCTCTCCATATATATAACATCATGATTTATGAACATTGTTTATTTGACCTTATCTTTTGACTTATATTTTAATGCTATATAAGATATATTTATATGAATTCATAAATAACATCTATATTTGACAATGAAATAGATTATTAGCTGTTACTTTTATAATGGATGTAAATATAGTGGAAGATGAAGATGTATCCTTCCACTTGGGAGAAATGTTTGATAGTTACGAAGAGCTAGAACATAAGCTGGAGAAATTTTCAAAACGTAGTCTAGTTCATTATTGGAGAAGAGACAGCAGAACCGTTAGTGGAGCTCATATGAAAACTGCTCGTCCAATTAGTGAGCGTTTAAAGTACTATTCTGTAAAATATGCTTGTATTTATGGTGGACAGAAGTTTTTACCACGTGGAGCTGGTAGAAGACAGTCTCAGTTAGTTGAAAAAATTTTATATTGTTAAAATTATATTCTAAATTAAATATTTTGAAATAAATGAATGAAATATATATATATAAATATTTCAATGGATTTTAAAAAATATATATATTTCATATATATATTTTATATATATGTATACTTTGTTGAATTTAGATCGATAAGGACAAATTGTCCTGCGCATATTATGTTAAGAGCTTCAAAAGATGGCACAAAACTAGAAGTGACTAGTGTCAATAATGAACATAATCATGAAATTTCTGAGGTAATTAAGCATGGTAATAAAATAATAAAATGATAAAATAATTTTTATGATAATAGATTTAATTTGATTTGTATTTCTTTGTTAGGAATTATTTAAAAATCTTCCACAAGAAAGAAAATTATGTGGCGAGATTAAGCAAGAAGTACAAGACTTAATGCAATTACACATAGACCGTAAGAGATTGAAAGAATATGTGAAGTTAAGAACAAACAAGGTACTTAGATCCAAAGATTTATTCAATATAGCAGCAGCTAATAAACAAAAAAGAAATATAACTCCAGAAAGAGCATACCAATTATTTAAAAAGATTCATGACATTGAGAAAATGCAGGGAAGAGACAATGACAAAAGAACATATTCAGAATCTGAAGATGAAATTGCACAGTCAATAAAGAAGATGAAGAAAGATCAAGAATCTCCTTGGGGTCAAGATGTAAGAAGTTTTATTTTATTCTATGTAGAATAGTACATTTGCTAATGAATACTTCTTTTTTCTACAGAGATTACCAACTGAAATAGAAGTAAGTGAGGGGAATGATGGTGAAGATTCCTACAGTGGTCAATTAACGCAAGAAGAAGTAGTAGATGAAATAGATGCAACAGATAGTGAATTATTGAGAACAAATAATGATGGAGATATTATAGCTGCAAATGGTGAAATTGTTGGAGAATTGGTAATGCAAGATGGAGACCCCTCTGTAATAGTTGAATCCATTGTGAACGCTGATGGTTCTGTTTTCGTAGATGAAAGGGAATTCAATACTTATTGCAACAATCATTTGTCACATACAGTTGATGACAGCCAATCATCCAATACTAGAGGTAACTTCAATTAACATTATAGGATATCTGTCTTGCTGTAATTATTCAAACTATTTGTGATAAAAACATTCATTATAAGTTTTGTAACAAATTTTTATCCATAAAAGATAATGAAAATATTTTATATATCTCACTAAACTCTTTATTCATCAGAAGTCTATTAGTTGACTTTTCAATTTCGATTAACAATCGGTAACCTATTAAAACTGTGCTGATTTAAAGCAAAAGAAGTCAGAACAACAGTACGAGATTCCCTTATAGTTTGATTTTAAAGCTACAAAGCTTTGAAAGTGAAACCATGCACTTCTACGCGATGACGAAAACTATATTGATAGTTAGTGAGTGATTGCCTTGATCAGGGGCTGTAGATAAAATGTTAAATGTAATACTCTTTGTGCAAGAAGTAGAGCTGTTATATTAGAAATATATTATTTATAATTATAAATTTATTATTTCATTTTATATCAGTTTTAGGCATTGAAACAATCGCACCCACTAATGACATAGGAAAAATAAAGGCAACATCCATGTCTCCTAAGCAACAAACCAGATCCCTTAGTCCACAACCACAGCAACCGACAAGGTCACCTAACACATTTCATGAAACTACAGATTCTAGAATTTGGATTATGAAACAAGCTACAAATGCTGAAATGGAACAAGATAGTGGACCTGAAAGCGGAGAAAATGGTTCCAATTCTGCGACTACCGATAAAGCGGATATCGACGCATCAGAAGTAATACTGTCTGACGAAGCGAGCCATCAACTACTTCGGGAACAGCTGGCAGTGCTTCGAGCAGAAAAAGGAAAGCTGTATCATGAGACTGAAATGCTAAAACTAAAGAAAGACAAGTTAAGGTTGCAGATAAATTGTTATTCGAATGAGATACGAAAACAAGAAATGGAGAAGGAGAAATTGCGTCTTGAAATAAAATTGCTCCAATCAAAAGTAATGGAGGACTCCAATGATGTGTCTCATTATATTTTTGTGCCTTGAATTTTAATCCGCAAGCGGATTGATTGTAAAATATGTCGCGAATAAACCTATGGCGCTTCTTTTACACTGTGTTCTCTTTTAAAGTATCAAATTGTACACATAGAAGCAGAAATTCAGTCCTGCTGATATGCTTAGCAATAAAACACAGCTATTTCATTTTATTTTCATATACTAAGTTACAGAAATAATCATACGTTTTGTATTGTCGGTATCGAATTATTGATAGGATTATGTACTCGAATAATTAAGTATTCAGTTAATATGATTGTCATTGAAAAATAACAGTATAGTACAATAAAAATAAAAATATAAATTACCTATCGGTTGATAGAAGGGTAATCGAAAAATAAGGAGGCTATCGAATATTTGGTGTTATTATAATTGTTATAAGAATACATTTCCAATTTTGTAAACATTTTTCAAATGTATTTTTAAATAAGACAGTGAAAAAAGTGCTATTATTGATGTTTAACAATTTTCTAATGAAATATGTTTGAATGAATTTTTTAATGAAATATGTTTATGCTCCAGGTAATTTATGCATTCGTATTAGAACAAATCTTTCTAAAAAAGAGGACATTATTGTATAAAGTATTCCATTAAGTACAGCGGTTAAATATAATGTATATGTATATCTAGTGTAATAAATTATTTTGTGAATAAAATCATTTTTTTATTATATCCAAAATCCTGTGCTTCAAATTAGATTAATAAAGCTTTACAAATAATATAAGTAATATTTTATTAATTAACTAATTTAGGTACTCACTTCCTCTTCTAGTTTCTTAACCTCAGCAATTAATTCTTTAATTTCTTTTGCCCTATTGAAAAAAATATAGCATAAATATGTATTTAATTAATGTTTTATCATAAATCATGTTTTAAAATACATACATTTGTCCAAGTGTATTTTTCATTGTTCTTTCTTGATCGCCTCTGAAAACAATTTCTTTTTTCTTCTCATTACACTCGCTGTTTTCTATATGCTGCGATTGCTGTTCTGATTTTTTCTTCAGTTCTAATAATCTAATCTTCATTTCCTCTATTTTTATCTCCATTTTCCTTAACTCCTCAGCTTCTGCTCTTTCGACAGGAGTTATAGATGGTTCCTTGTAATTTACTAATCGCAATACTTCTTTTGCTCTAAATAAGGATAACTTGTTTAATAGTTACCAAACATTTAAAAATGATAATTTCCCTTTACCTTTGTGCCAATTGTTCCTGTTCGTCTTTAATGTCTTCATATCGTTCAGCCAAACGTTCAGCAGTTTGCTGCAATTCCTTCTTTGCTTCCATTAAATTGTCCAGTTCTTTTAGTAGATGTGTTTTCATTACTTTCAACGCTCGCACTTTCTTACCGATTTCCTCTCTGACATTATCGTGTCTGGTGAAATGTTCCTTGCGAAAGATATCGGTCGCGTAATACAGAAGCTAATTGTTGAAATATTTACTTTAGTATTGTTTCACGTTATATATAAATAATATATATTGAGTAATCTCATTGTTTTAATACCTGCAAACATTCTCGCGGCGATATCGATTTTGATCCAATTTTTATGATGGGCTGGGAGGTCTCACGTTTTAGTAATTTTTTTATATACACGTCGAACGCTTCGTTGTTGACCTTAAATGAAAATAGATAGGTATACAGGATTATGATTAGAAATTTTTGAACTCGGATTATTCTATAAAGTAATTGAATGAATAGTTTGGTATTTACTATATGAACTGTCCGACATACTCATTCTACGTATGTAATTACTAAATTCTATTTAATACTTTCAAAATTTTTTGCATATAACTTTAATATTATCAACATTCAATATTATCAAGAATAACAGTTTTCAAAATGGATTGGAATACAAAGTTAAAGTTTTAAAAATGTAGTATAGCTAAAGCATAACATTGAATTAGCTTACCTTCTTTTCTGTAGTGACAATGGGTTCCGGTAGTTCAATTTTCGGAAAATAGTGCAGATCGATGACAGACCGAGCAACTACATCACCTGTGTGCAACAATGCGACGAAGACACACGGCTCTTGAAGAAGACCGAAGCCAAGGATCGGTGTGGCTTCGTTTGTTCCTGTATGTTTAGTTCTTCTACAAATTAGATACTGAGAGCTGGACTGATTCGACAATGATGGTAGACGGGCATCATCATTATCTAGAAGAATTTGTTTCTTTATTAAAATTCTTTATTAAATACTCTGTCTTTAGATACTGGACTCTTTCTTACCATCCGAAGAGTTAATGTATTCTTCCAATTGAGGGACCATTGGCAAACTGATCATGTGTACACCAGCGTTGTGAGAACAAAAATATCTGACAAAGAAATGAATAATAATTTATGTTGCACTCACTTGATTTAAAAGGAGCTTTACTTCATTTTTTTGCTGATTGATAGTATACAATATAAGATATAGCAATGAATGGTATGTTGTTTTTTTTAATAATTATAATTGTATTGTAAAAAGAAGTAATATATACTGAACAAGTTTTATGTACGAAAATAATGTTAAAGAAGTAGAATAAAATTTATTCGTATGTAGCTTGGATTTTGTATTACTGGAAATACTTTTTCCTTTAACCCATTGCTTCTGTTGTTGATTTTATGATCCTTTTTATTTTAAATCACAAGAGATAGCAAGACAAACAGGAAAGAAGTGGTTGTAATACGCGAGTAATATTATCATTATGTATTAGATAAAGGTACGTTATTCTTTAAATCAGATAACGTATGAAGTTTAGTTAACACTAGAAATGTTTTCAAATAATCGTTGTTTAATTGAGTGAACTATAGTAATTCGATTTGATTGGGGGTCACCGGTGACCCCCATGGTATTCGACATGTTAATTAATCATTTACGATCGGAATGTAATTTGCTATGTAAAGGGACTTGGATAATATTAGTTGCAAACTATTGCATGATAGTTGCAAATAATTACCTGGACTTGTTACCCTTATCACAACGAAGATGTATTGGACAATTGTATTTCTTATCATTATCCGCGTACAAAAGTCCCAGTTCTATTTCAACACACTCATAGACATAGAGGGCTTCTTCCGACGTGTGGACATTGTACATGGAATTAGATTGTAACCAATCCTAAAAATTATAAACATCGAACGTGTATGAAAACGTTTCAGAAATGCATCTACTAAACTTGTATATTCAATCTTTCTTTTTGAACTTCCGTATAACTATAAATTTATAGTAATTTTGGGGTAATAAAAAACACATGCGATGCTAACAAGATTCTCCAATTTTTCGCAAATTAACTAGAAGGATTTAAGAATATAAGAATATAAAAAGATCGTTATGCATTTGAAAAATTGAAAACGTTATCGGGTCAATGTATCAAAAAGTTCTGGTTAAAGAAAAACTTACTCTGCTTTCGTTTTCAACATCGTCGTTCGTTTCCTTCTTCAATAAAAGTGCATGGTATATCTTCCCGCTACACATGGCAATAACCACTATGGGCGGCGTAGTTTGTATGCACATGATGGAACACGAGTCTACCCCGTAATTGTCGTCGGCTTGGGGATACATGGAGAGAGTCCCTGACACCACTGGGTTTTCATGACTTAACATTACGGAAGATGCACAAAAATGATGAATTCATATCCCGACAGAAACATGTTTCAGATTAACATGTTCGCTACCAGTGTTTCTTTCGGTGACGATCTCCTTAATTGTAATATTTTATTCAATCCAACAAATCTTCTAAACAAAATACTGAAAATATGAAACTGATGCGAATCATTTAGTTCCTAAATATAATGCTTATAACCTTAAATAACTATATCTATAACTTTAATTTCGTTTTATTTATGTAAAATATAGGATTACAGTCGTCACAAATATGTAACGCTGATAGCTAACATGTTAACAAAATATCATTTACATGCAGTATAAATTAAACAGATATTATTTAACGGTTAAAAATTTCCAAGGAAATAAAGTAACGATTGCATAGTTCGTATAAAATTGTTCACAGAATTTCATGACGATACGTAACTCTACCACTTATTGCCTCATTTTTAATTTTGTAATGTAAGTAAATAAACTCAATATTTTTGTATGAATCACTTCTCAATACTTTAATATTTGTATAATTTAGACTACTTGTTTTTCAAAATATACACCTTCTCAATTGAAAACATTTAAACACTTAGCTAACTGAATAGGGAAATCTCTCATTTTTCCCTTAACAACGTATTTTCTTACTTAGTAAGTCTTGAACTGAGGACATTTGCGATTGAATAAATACCTTTCTTGGTTGTATAAAACAAATTTTTAATAAAATCTGTTGAATGAGCTCAATTAACCCTAGATAACTAAACATTCGTCTAAATAGTCTATCGAACTTTGTCATTTTTGTGCATTACTAATAATAAATATCTCGAGTTGTACTACCTTGTTTGAAATAAATAGAAGAAATATAAAAATATACATGTTTTGGATTTGTAGTCTATGAATCAAATGTTTAGTTACAGAGTGACACTGATTCAAGTTTAGTCATCTAGGGTTAAAGTTAATGAAAAAGATTATAGTTACAGTTCTATTTTAACGGCTGCCTAAGTGTTAAGTATAATAGCATAAAAGCGTAACAAATAAATTCCCTTTCAATTCGTCGTAAGTTGTTAAAGTCACAAACATTCTGATCGCGTAATATAATAAATTTACATACGTATCGAGCAACACGTTGCTACGGACAATTAGCACCTCTCCGTTTCCGCGAAGAACCAGAATGGGCCATTCGATCTGGTTCCAATCGACCATGATGTTCTAGAAATCATTACAGTTTATATTTCCTAGCGGTCCCGTCGTGAACGTTTGCCTCCCTGTTCGTACCTTGTTGATATCTTTACCAGCAAACATTTCTGGTTTGCGTAAAGTGGGCGTAGCAAAATCGAAATCCACCGCGGTGTCCCCCAACGAAGAAAAATCCGGTATCTTTGATGGCGAATTGTACGGCTTGCGCCCGATTTTCCAGTACTTTACGCGCCTCGGCGGGCTACCGAGTTCGCATTCGTATAAACTGGGGAAGGTAGAAAACTGGCATGTAGTCAGTTAACATCGTTTAACCTGATGGTGTCAATTCAACCGAGCTACCCACAAGTACTTGAATACTCGTGTATTCGGTTTTGTTCTATGAATGTTGCATTATTTAACCTTTCATTAAAATAATTCCTCAGGTGAGAAACAAATTTCTTTTAGAGACTAAAAAGAATTGGGTCTCATTTTCTATTGAACATTTTTTCCTGTCTTTGCAGGTTTTAACTTCAGGTTATTAGTGACATTATTCTATTCCTTTTTATTGTAAAGTTAAATTTTTTACATAGAAATTAATAAGTAAGAATGTTTGAAAAAGTAATGTGAGATCATCTTTTTTTAAGAAACGAGATGAGTAAGTAAAACGATATATAAAATCTGATTATTGTAGTGGAAACAATTTTTATATAACTTTGATTTTACAGCATGCCTTAAAAAAATACTGTAGTTACAAGTGAAATATAATTTTCTCTTAGGAACTCATAATTAAAACATTTTTTAGTAGTATAGATTACAGAATATAATATAAACATGTCAATGTAAAAAACAGATTTATAAAGATCCATAACAACCTCTGAGGCATATCACCAGCATGATAAGTAGGTATTAAGTTAATGAAAATTACCAAAATGTATTTTCCGATGTCAAAATTAGAAGATGGGAATCGTTCGTTGAACCAGGATGCCATCTTGCCTTTCGAATTTCCGTATTCGTATTGAAATGATCGAATTTGTACATTCTGAAATCAAATATTAGAAATAGAAATAAAACAAAATGGTTATATTACTATTTCATATATTAATTCTTCAACATGTTGATTGTTACAGTGATTGCCGATGTTTGATATTAGTTAAATTGAAAACGGATATTACAAGACGATATGATTAGATCATTTTTTTACCAACATAAACAACTAGGTAATTATATAAAATAAAAAAATATATGTATATATATATATATATATATATATATATATATAT